GGGGGGGGGGGGGGGGGGGGGGGGGGGGCTTGTCCAAGATGGGCGCTGGGTTGGCGGGTTCCCATGTGGATGTGGTGTGTGGTCATACGTTTGGGCATTTTTGTTTTCTTGGTGTGATGGCAAAGAAACGGACAGCGTGTTTTTCTTTTTTGTGTCACTGAAGTCTTGTGCTTTCTTTTCTGCCCCCCGACCTTTTGCATGACAGAGGAACACGAGAACTTTGCGACAGGGGACGGGTCCGTCGTCTACATGATCCAGCACATGGACGTGCCGAAAGCCATTCTGGCGGACAACCCTCACGCGAAGATAGTCTTCGCTCTCAGGTGCGCTGCTTCTGTTGCCGACGTCGCTGATATAATTGTTGTTGCTGTCGCTAACGTTGCTGTCGTTGATGTTGCTTTTGTCGTCGACCTCCTTCGTGTCGTTTCCGTCGTTGTCGTTGTTGTTGACGATGTTGTCCTTGATGTTGCTGGGGTTTGTGTTCACCCACCCACCCCTGAACAATACTAGCACTCATGTGGCCCCGCCCGAATCAAGGACCAAAGACACCAAACGAAGGATACGAGTGAGGGGGTAGGGGGGTGTACTCATAGTCGTGCATGCCGTAGTCGTTAGACCATTGACCTCGTGAGGGGGGTGGGGGGCGTACTCTTATGTTTGCATGCCTCAGCGGTTAGACCATTGACCACGCGTCCTCGAGAGGACGGAGCATTGTTCCCACAGGACCGATCACCGATGGCCAATCGTTCCTTGCTACTTTGCCAAAGGTGGCTCAAAAATGTCTTCCCTAGTCTGTCTATCCTAACGATATCCCTTCCCGCCTTTTCAACCCACCTCCCATGCCCAAGTACCGCTACTGTCCTTTCCTCTCTATTCCATGCCTCAAACATCTCCCTGTACCTCCCTTGTATTTTTCCCAGCTCAGTCATGTACACTTTCTTCTCCTACGAGGGGGGGGGTGTTGACCTCCGTATCACGCGTGCATTCGCATCCCCACCCCGGCGCCCCGGTTGAGTGCATACAGGCTTCCTCCCGCCCACCCCCTCCGTCCCTACCCGACGCGCGTCTGTCAGAGATCCTGTGGCCCGAGCGTGGTCGGACTTCCGCTTCTTGTGGAACGTCTACTCCAGGACCAACGGCTTCCCCTCAGGTGAGACGAGCCTAGCCTTCGTTACACCTATGCCTCCGTTTGTCATTGGCACGAGATGCCGCTTTTTGTTTGGTCGGTGTTGTTTGTGGTGGTGTTGTAGTTTGTTGTGCTCGTATAGGCGGTCGCGGTCCCTGCTCAATCTGTCGCTTTCTCCTTTGTGGTGTTGGGGCATGCGCTTTGCCCTTGGGTTGCGTCTGTCCTCATCTCATCTCTTGCTGTCCCTGTTTTGTTCAGCTCTAAGGTGAGGCTTTTTACCCTGAAGGGGGGGGGGGCGTACTCATAGTCATGCATGCCGTAGTCGGTAGACCATTGACGTCGTATCCCTACAAAGCCGGGACGGAGCACGCCGGGTTCTCACCGGACCAGGCTCTCACATCACCAAGCGCGAAGCGCCGTGAGATATTCGGCGAGTCGCATGAAGGGTGCGCTGCATCCTGCTAAGGGTGTTCGGCATCTTGTGCTTACTTCCTTGCGTACGGATGACAGCTGCGTATGAATTAATTTATTTTCTGGTGCTTTCACTTCCAGAGATACAGTTGTACGCTGTGTAACTGCCTCGAGGGTGCTTGACCATTTTAGCACAACGTGGTGCAATCATCCCCCTTGCGCGGAGTGAGACTTCTCCACCCCGCACAACATGATCTACTCGACCACCATCATGGTTACCGTAAAAAAAAAACAGGGGTAAAAAAAAAACCGGTAACCTGGTTGCCGAGTTCAGTAAGTGAATTGGCTTGTTTTACAACGTCGTTGCCAAGCGACGAAAACCCAA